TGAAAGCAATGAGAGGAGCTGTTTCGTGTTTCGAACTGCCTGACTTCTAAGTCTCAATGGAGGTTGCAGGATTGAAACAAGAAACAGTCTCTTCACAGGGATGTGTGTACATCTGCCTATCTTTAGACCTTGCAATGGCGGCAGCCTCACACCGGCTGCCCTTTAATTTCATGGTGCTGAAGTTGTATGTGATTCTCTCAGACTTATAGGTGTTGTGTGATTCTGGCTCTACCATGTTAGCATTGCAGGAGTTTGATGCTTTATAGTTTATGCTATGATTTATTTATTTCTGCCTCTGGAATTGGAATTTAGACCTTTGATTTGTGTTTATGGTTCTCAGGGCATAACATGTGCTAATAAAATGTATCCATCGCCCAGCAAAGTGTGCTATCCAGGATTGGCATACACTTGCAATGTTATCAAATTGTTTTGCTAATGAAATGCAGTTGTAAAATTATGTTTTTATACATAACTAATTATTATTTTTGGAAAATGTTATTCGCAGCCAACAATTTCTTTGCTTGAAACCTCTTTCGTAAGACAGAGAATTTTCTATACAGTGGCAATTTCTGCAATAGGTTTACCCAAACTCATGGCATCATTTGTTAAACATTCTAGTCTCTCATAAAAATCAGAGGTAATGCGGACATCATTGATTAGTTTCGAAATGTATGTGTTAGTTTCCTAGGTTCTCTAGTAGGGGTGGGCATTGAGACCAAAAAATCGGAACACCAAGCCGTATTGGGCTCAAAAAAAGGACTGTGTTCACTAAAAAGTCAATAAGTCGGCACCGAACAGGATTAGACCGGTTCAAATCGATTTCAAAGCCGGTTTCACACCTTACAAAACCAGATTGGACCAAACGGGACCAACTGTGTATTTTTTTATATATATAAAAAATTATTGAAGTCCAATACTAAATTTCTAATCCCATAACTAATATTTCCCCTAGCCTAACTTCAAAGCACCTCTCTTTTCTGGGCCCAATCATCTCTCTTTGCATGAAATTGGGTCATTTGGGAATTTTTAAGCCCAAAAAATAAAGATGTCAAGTTCCTATTGAGTTTTCCTCTTACAAGGACCATGTTTGATGTGATGTGGTTGCGAGGGATGTGGGTCATATTCTCTTGTGAAGACAATGGATTCAAGATCACAATGTTACCATCTTTGGTCGAGAAAATGTATGTTATCACCTTGAAACCACTACAACCGAAGCTCGTGAATCAATCTACACCAAATAAGGAGGTGCATGACAAAGTAGGTAAATCCAAAGCTCCTCATATAATTACTCTTAATTAATTTAGGGAAGATAAAGAAGTTCCGACTCAAGTGGAAGTTAGATCTGATTCTTATAGTACATGCGTTCCAAAGGAGAACCTGCAGCGCATTGATCCTGACATTTTGGAACGTTATTACAAATTTATCTTGTCATAGTTGAGCTCTTCTCAGCCAAGGGGAATTGATGCATACATCATTTATTAGTTTCCAAATATATTTGTTAGTTTCCTAGGTTCTCTACCCTCCATTTGGATGAGGGAAAATAACTCGGAATTTAGCTAAAAGTAGGGAATTTAAGAGGAGAAATTGACAATTCCCTTGTTTGGCAACTTAAGTGCAGAATTTATTAAATGACACGTGGAAAAAATCGAGAAAATTGGAGCATCAAATTCCTGAGTTTAATTTCCACCAAAATAGGCGTCATTTCACAATTTCCATAGTGCCGTTTACAAAATTTTGTCATTTACAAAATTCGACATACATAAATCCAAACATTGAAATCTTCAATTACCAGAAATTGAAATGATGGAAATCTAAATTTCGTCATTTTAGAATTCTATGTAATTTTTCCTTCTTCCAAACGGAGTGCTAGTTTTCCATATTCCAGTAAAATTTTGATTTTCTAGATTTTAGCACAGTTTCTAGTTTTTGTTTTGTTTTTTTTTTCTTCCAGATTTCTAGTTTCCTAATTTATTTGCGTTAGGACTTTTCTTTTAGCAAGGATAAAATCTTTATTCATCTATTTTCTGTTTGGCTTATTTACTGTTTCACCCCTTAGAACTCGAGCTCGCTCTCACTTAACCACCCGGAACTTAAATTTCTTCACTTTACCACTTCCGTCCATTTCTGTCCACAAAACCGTTAAGTTTGTTGAGGTGGCTTGGGCATTCTAGTAATTTTAGCCCCTATCTTCTCTCTTCTCTCTTCTCTCTGCCTCTCACTCACTCTCTCTCTCTCTCTCTCTCTCTCTCACACACACACACACACACACACACTCACTCACTCACTCACTCACTCACTCTCTTTGCGTCTCTCTTCTCTTCCATCCCCTCCCCATACGCAACCCCCATCGCATCTCACCCATTCACACACTCTCTCTATCTCT